GAAAGAGTCCCTGTGTGTTTTAAAATTCGCCTGCCCATTGAAGTCAATGGCGTTTCGGGCGGTTCGCCGGTTTGCGAACATTTGCGGAAGTTCGCCGTTCGCGAACCGAAAATTTCGGGTTCGCGACATCACTATAACTGATACTACAACCAATTGCCATCTCAAGGTATTACATCCAAGATGTATTTGGAGAGACTGTCTGATCTCAGATAATTTTATTTCTTTTTCCTAAATTGATATTTCTTCTGTGGGGATTATTTACATATACCCAGGTGCACGGTGCTGATTTCGTAGCTGAAGAATTCCAAACTTTGACTGGTATTATTATTAGCACAAAAACTGTGCAATGGGAGTTTCATGGTTTTCATGGCCAAGCAGCTGCATTCACACCTCACATTACCAAGTACAATGCCAAACACAATGCCAAATCTTGGATCAAGTGATGTAAAAAGCACGTCACCACTGGAAGGTGGAGCAGTGGAAAAGTGAAGTGACAAATCATGCTTCTTTGTTTGGCAGTCTAACGGGCAAGTCTGGGTTTTGCGGATAACTGGAGAACGTTACCTACCTGACTGCATTCTGCCAACTGTAAAGTTTGGTGGACTGGGATAATGAAATGGGGCAGTTTTTTAGCGGCTAGGCTAGGCCCCTTATTTCCACTGAAGGGAAATCTTAAAGGACCACTATAGTGCCAGAAAAAAATACCCGCCGGGCTCTAGGGGGAGGAAGGGGTTAAACTTACCTCTTTCTCCAACGCTGGGCGGGGAGCTCTACTCCTCCCTCTTCTTCCGTCACTGGCTGAATGCGCATGCGCGGCAAGCGCCGCGCGCATTCAGACAGTCCATAGGAAAGCATTATCAATGCTTTCCTATGGATGCTGGCATCTTCTCACTGTGAAAATCACAGTGAGAAGCGCGGAAGCCCTCCAGCGGCTGTCAGTGAGACAGCCACTAGAGGCTGGATTAACCCATAGGTAAACATAGCAGTTTCTCTGTAACTGCTATGTTTACAGAAAAAAGGGTTAATCCTAGCTGGACCTGGAACCCAGACCACTTCATTAAGCTGAAGTGGTCTGGGTGCCTATAGTGGTCCTTTAATGCTTCATTTTGGACAATGCGTGGGAACCGTTTGGAGAAGGCCCTTTTCTATTCCAACATTAACATCCCCCAGTGCACAAATCAAGGTCCATAAAGACATGGTTGGATGAGTTTGGTGTGGGAGAACTTGACTGGCCAGTCTGTGTGTAGTCTTTTACTCTTCCTTTTGATATATTAGTTGTCTCAATATAGATTTCAATAATTTGTTTTGCCTCTTTTCTCCCAACAACCAGACTCTGTCCTGCTTCCACTCTTTTTTATGGATTTTACACAAAGTAACACCTTTGGGATGAACTAATACGGAGACTGAGAGCCAGGTCATCTTGTCCAGCAAATGCTCTACTGGATGAATGGGTAAGGATTTCCACAGAAACACTCCAAAATCTTGTGGTGTGCCTTCCCAGAAGAGTGGAAGCTTTAATAGCTGCAAAGGACGGACCAACTATAATATTAATCTTTATGTATTTACAATTTTAGTGTAATGGTCAGGTGTCCCAACACCTTTGTCAATAAAGTGTACCTTACAGGACCCTTATACAGCACCCGAGGATTGGAGAGTTACTAAAAGGGCCTCATAATTGTTCTCCATCCCTTTTATATGCCCCAGTTAGTCTGTGTTTATATATGCATATGTTTGTGATTTATTTTTTCTGGTGCAGCTGTACTTCTATATGTGGAAACACTTATTTTTATGAGGTGCTATTTTGAGTCCCTTGCTGCAGTTTTTACACATGTGTATTAACCATTACTCAGATCTGAATGGTGTTCACAGAATTAGGGATTGTTAACCTTTGAAACTTCCTAACTCACATTCCATTAGTTTGTGACTGGAAACTGCACAAGTTTTAGTGGGCAAACATTTAGTTTATATATCCCCTAATTCAGTCAGTGGTTAATGTATTTGCTTGAAAAGGTTTCCTTAGAAATTTAAGGCTGGATGAGCACTGTTAAGCTTCTAATCTAGCATTAGTTTTGAAGCTACTATTTTTTTGAGACAGAGGCCTACTATAGGAATTTAGCTTCAGCACTTTCAATTTATATTCATGTTTATTCACATAGTGTGAAACAATTTTGTATGTCAGTCTGTGTGTAGTCTTTTCTTCTTCCGCTCTTTTTTATGGATTTTTTGATAACAAACATTCACAATAAAATAAAAAGGGGGAACAAAAAGGGGGAAAACATTTCTATTCACATATTTATAATAAAGCAATTTCTAACACATTCTACCAGGTTTTCCTTTATCATGAAACACTCATCTGTTCCACCTTTTCTCTGCTGATAAAGATTTGAGTATTGCTATTTTGTGTGTATATCACTTATTGTTTCTGTTTAGTTGCTACTATTAAGCCATTTGTGGTTGATTTCACTTAGCGAGGATTTGGCTAATTCTCCTACAACTATTTTTTGATTCCACATATAGATATTCATTACAAGCATATTAACTGATACACACACAGATATACACTCAGACATACACACAGGTACACGTGCTGCTAGATACTCAGAGGCAGACAGACACAAACTCTCAGACACAGATCCTGCACTATAAACTGAGAGATAAACATTATCAAACACACATCTATTCTGATACAGCATAGTAGACATGCCCCCCTGGTGGTGGCCCTGAAAATATGTAAATAATAAAAGGTAAAAACAAAACAACTTTGTTACATTTCCAAACAGAGTAGCACATGCGCAGGCAATTGTTACATGAAACCTCACTAATCAGGAACTTGAGTTGCTATCAGCTTAATCATTTCACATTCCTGTTCACGTTTGTGAAGTGAGCTGTTGTGCAAGAGATGGAGGGTAGACGTGCACAGCACCCTGTGTGCAGGGCTGCCATCAGAAATTTTGGGACTTCTTACACAGTTCAAGACCTGGGATGTAGAGTATAGGGAATCCAGTTTGTGTAGGAGATGTAGTGTATATAGGGGATGCAGTATGTGTCTGTGTAAGGGAGGAAGTGTGTGCATATACTTGATGCAGTGTGTGCTGCGGCGAACTAGGGGGGTGCTGGGAGCATGTGTCTTGGGAGCCAGATGGAGAAGGGAACTCCACTGGTCCAGGTCTAGCCATGTCTTTCTGGAAATTACTACATGCAGAGAGGGAACCAGAAAGCAATACCTGGTTCCACAACCTCTAGACAAAAAGGAATGCTCAGACCTCCACTCCTGCTATACAACCAGTGCTCATAAAGGTGGATACTGTGTGACTGTAACTGTGTGTGCCTGAAAAGATAGTGTGTGTGAGACTCCCTGTAATTCCCTGTTGCTCCGATCCGGCAACCTGCCACTTCTGTGACTCCAGGCAGTCCTGACAGCCACCTGAACTCCGGCCGCTGTGCGCACGCCCCGCTTTATGACACAGTGCATGCGTGCCAGCGTTATGATGTCAGAGGGGCAGTTAACACTACAAGTTAGTGTACTCTAATGTTTCAGGGGTGTGATTACACCAAACACGCCCCCCAAACATATAAAAAATCATTGCCCAATGCACAGTGCCCTGTTGTAGTTCCTAGGTTCCTAGTGTCTCTGTAGAGCATACCTTTGTCTGTTTATTGTCCTTTTTGGTATTGAGTCAGATTTGTCCTGACTACACTATTTCTCTGGTTCCCTTGGCTCTCCTTCCTGTGGTTTTCTGGCTTCCTTTGATGTTGCTCTTTTCCTTTTATTTTACTTTCAATCCACCTACCCTAAGGACTGGCATAGGTTCCTTTCTCTGCCTTTATTTATTTTTTTTGATGGATTTATATTTTGCGTGTTTGGTATAACATTATATTACAACAGAGCCCACGGACTCTGCAGCTATAGATCCCCAGGAGTTAGTTCATGACGGATGGCTGGATGGACTTGCTCACCATTTGGATCAGTTTGCGCAAACCTTGCAAACACTAATCACAAGATTGGCTAATATGCAACCTGAAGGATAAACCCAATCACTGAGTCCTGTATCTGCTGGTGTGTAATCCACCGCCCACAGCAATACCAACAACCTAACCTATCCCATGTTCTGTGGTGTGGACCCGTAGAAATGTAGAGGATTTCTCAAACAAGTCAGTTTTTCGTTTTGAATTATGCCTTAGGTCTTACCCTACCCATATCGCTAATATAGGTTTCATAATTACTTTACTGACTTATAGAGCTCTTGTCTGGGCCAATGCTGCCAAAGCTCTCTTACGATTAAGACAAGGTAACTGCTCCCTCATAGATTATGTCTTAGAATTCCACTTTCTAGTGGCAGAGATATGTTTAAGTAACCGTGCATTTGTGGATATGTTCCTTAACAGATTATCCGATACCCTCCTGGATGAGGTAGCTGCTAGGGATCTGCCAGAGATGTTGGAAGAACTTATCACCTATCTTGCTTACATAGATGAGAGATAGGGACATAGGCAGAACACCAAAGAGAGACCCAGAAAGCCGACTACCAGAGTATCTCCTTCCTTTCCCTCTGACTCTATGGCCTTAGCTATACCTGAACTCATGCAGTTGGGCATAACAAGATTATCTGTAGCAGAGAAGCTACATAGAAGGAGAGAGGGTTTATACATTTATTGTGGCAAGAGGGAACATCTCTGCTTTTCTTGCCCTGAAAGGCTGGAAAACTCTACAGCCTAAGGTCCCATGGTGGACAGGCCTTGGTTGTTCTTAATAAGTCCTCCATGACCATAAGGTCAGAAAAATGTTACTTTAGAGTTGTGGAATGCATGTTAATTGCTTATAGATCAAAATTTAAAAGAATCATGATTAATTTGAAACCACATACACAAGTCTAGTAGATATGCCAACTTCTACAGCTTTTTTAAAAGGATAAAAGAAATAATAAACCCTTTGGTTTAGAGTGACATATGTTTGTACGTCACATGCTTAACGCAAATAGTTCCGATTTTTAACATTTCAGCATCCATGTCCAAATTTTAGTTGTTCAGTTTGGTCCAGACAGGTAAAAATTCAGTAGACATTCGGATCCATTCAGATGCTGCTTTAATACATTTTAGGAACAATATCCAGAGACAGAGAAAGTTATTCAAATATATTTGTCTGTAGCATTCTTTATTTCCAAGTATGTTTGTGTAAACTCATCGGAAAAAAAAACTTGCTCCACATCCAAAAAAGAAGCCTTTATAAATTTAAGAAACTAACAATTTTCCACTTTGCAACTGGTTGCAGTTAGTTGAAAATGTGTAATTTAAAATGATAACAAGCAACCACTAGAGGTCACAACTTCATTGTTATTTCAAAAAGTATATTGGTTTACTCACTTAGCAACAAACTACAAAATTTAGGCACAAATAGCTAGCCCTAGTTCAGGGATAGGCAACCTTGGTACTACAGTTGTGGACAACATCCCCCATAATGCTCTTACACACATAATGCTGGCAAAGCATCAAGGGAGGTGTAGTCCAAAACATCTGCAGTGAAGGTTGCCTATGCCTGCCCTAGTCGATAACTGAGCTGGATAGATCTCCCAAATCATACCTTTTTGCCTAACCTTTGCTAATCAGTTTTCAAAAGTTTAGTAAATAAATCTATTAAGTGCGAGTAATACTTCTCAGGGGAATCAAAACACCAGGAACATTTCCTATGACCACTCCTGGCAACACAACCACTACTGTGGACAGTAATAATAATAATAATAATAATAATATGGTGTTTGGAGTGTCCATTGATGGGGGGGGGTAATTCGAAAAAGTAAGAAATTATTAGGCAACTTCAGGTATCATAACAAGTTCTTTGAAATCGAGTAGGTGTAGGTGTGATGTCCTGTAGTCACTTAGTTTCCATCCAGCTCACATATTTTCCTAAAAGTTGCAAATCCCTGGATACATTATGTTTAATAAATACAAAAGTGCAAACCAAATAGCAAAATGGAGGCAAGAAGTAGCTGAATGGAGGACATTCACCAGCTCACCTATAGTCCCAGTTTGATGATTACATTTTACAATCTGGCTTTCCTTTCATTTTACAGTTTACTGATCGGGAATCACGATGTAGTTAATGATCCTGATCGGTTGTAGAGCAGGAGTGAATGAGTTAAGTTCTTGGAGCAGTTGCTTTCTCTTTAAGTTTGCATACAATGAACAAGAAATATGATACCAGGTTCACAGCCATTGAAAGCCCCATAAAACAGCTCAGCGTACAGAACAGACTCGCATGAAGAAAGATTTAAAGTGACCCTGAAACAAAAAAACCATGGTGTGCAATGAAATTCAAAGCTGCAATAAAAACAACCCCCATTCCGTGACTACTCTGACTCTTCTCCTAAGCCCTTAGGCAGAAGCTTAAATCAATATTGTCTCAGTTTGTCCCTGTCTATCTTCATTTCACCCTTACCCTTTCTCCTCCCCTCAATTGAAAACGTCATATGTTTTGGCTAAAGGCTGGGAACAGAATCTGCTGATGTGAATAAGTGCACGTCACCAGCTGAGTGCAGGGGAAACCCTGTCCTTTTAAGGGTGTAGCTTGCCTGAATGGCTAGAGATAGAGGGAGGGGTAGAGTGTGTGTTTATAGATAGAGAAGTAGCCATGGCAACACTCACTAACGTTCTGATCCAGGAATCATTTTTAAGCAGAAAGGGAATAATGTAACGTGTTTTGGCATTAGTTAACTTGGTTTTGAATTTATGAATTATTGATAGAATATAGACCAAGAGTTTTTGTTGGGCGGTGTCTATAAAATTTAATCATGTGAGTCACATTAAGTGAAGCTGGTGAGATGATTGTAATCTAGCAATCTGGGCTTCAAATGGTTAAAACACAGCTCTGGGCTTGTTTACTTTCTTAAAAGTTAAGATGTCGGAAGGGGTGGGGGTTAGATATGCATTCTCGGAAGACTCAAGGAGTACACCTCTACACTGTTTATAGGACTATCAATAATTGATATTACTGCCTGTCCAAGTAGGAACATTTAGCAGTGTAACAGAAGAAAGATGAATGGTAAAACACATTAATAAATTACTCTTAATATATCTTAGTTGACTGAATATAAATGAATATAGTTCATTTTATTGTTTAAGGGCAGCCCATATTCATAGGATGCAAGATTCTGACTTTAATTAACCCTTGCAATTTTTTTTAATTCAACATGCTCCAGGACAGCATTTTTATTGTACTGCTGATCAATATGTATTAAGGTTTTATTATATAGCAAATTGTGTCTGTTTGCATCCAGGAAAACATGATGGATCTTACAACCCTAATGTAATATGCTAAACCTATAGAACAATCCTATACTCCCCTTAGGCTAATTTCTCGCATAGTGTGACCCCTGGTGTGGCTCCTGGTGGGGCATTTTTTGTTCCTGCTCATTTGGTTGAGTTTCCCACTTGAAGCATGGCTGTTGGGCATGTCGGCCTAGTTGTTTAGAGATGCACACCTTTCAAACAATAATAAATATACATTTAGCATCATCTCAAGTAATGACAAATTCGATCGCAACAAGGGAACAACTCTGCTCATTTGCATGTTTGATAAACCATTTGGGTCTATTAATCTTGTCTTAACCAAAACATTAATATGCAAATGCCTCGATTTTGTAAATTTGTTTAGAACCATAAACATCCTGCCTCTATCGAGATTGTATCCTAAAAGGTTTTGAATATTCTGCTTCGAGGGTGGCCTTTTGGAAGTCGCACCCTGAATATACAGATAAAGCCTTATTGTTTCTAGGGAGATTGTATGTTATTTATAAATGGTGGATAACCCTCAAATCAAAGGTAGTTTGAAAATGAGTTCTGTTGGGAGTGTTTAGAGATACACTTTTATGGTATTTATCTGTCCTTCCCATTGTCTAAAAGTGACATGAATGATTAGACTGGAACCAAACAGGCAATACTACTTGTATATTATCATTGGTCTTAAAAGAAGTAATCCTGCTTTGAGACATGCATTAAACTTTCAATCAGTTCTGATTGATTTGCTAGTTAGTTATAGGTTTTGTTTTGAATTTAAACAAGTTAATCCAGTGGATGGATTAATGTCTGGAAAACTAAATTGTAATAACACAAGATTGAGTTGGTGTCTTTAGAATGTTTTCACTAATCAGCAAATTTAAAAAAAAAAAAAAAAAAAAGCTCAAATCTTAGGCCTACATGCCCATGTTAGAAAAACTGCTCTATCAAAATATTGTTGCTATTGTGGACTACATTTTTCAATTTATTTTTAGTTATTAAGTGTTCTTGCATAGCAAGACCACTTAATGTTATCTCACATATATATTCTTATTATTATTATTATTATTATTATAGCAAAATTTGCCACCCTAACTCCTCCCACCGTTTTTACACTACATAGACAAAAATTTACCAAAACGTGCAGATTGTTCCCGATCGGATTGTTATTACTTTGTGGAACGTTTCGCCGAATGGTTCACGGAATATCGTCGTTCTTGTGGCGAAATTTGTCCCATAGGAATGAATGGCAAAGCTAGAGTGGGAGCTGGCAAAAGCTGAAAAATCAGGACATGATTTCTAAACTGCCACCACTCCCTTATTTTCAGGCCCACCTACACAAATCTTATATCAAAACGTTCAGCTATCCCTGCTGCCACTAAACATGTCAACGGCTAAGCCATAGTCCTGATAGTTTTCACAATATAATCATTTGTTTGCAACTAACGCCGTCCATTGACTTTCATTGAAACTTCACTCTGCAAAGCTCAAATTTGAAGTGCAATTTCTAAACTGCGACTGTGCCTTCAATTTTAATACTTCAGAGACATACTATGCATCAAAATGTAGGTCTGGGTCTTGTGATTCTCACAATATAAAGCTCTTCACTGTAGGAGTTATAGTTTTTAAGATACGACCGTTTGAAGATGGCAACCACCAAAATACTCTGACCTGTGTCAAGGCTGCAGCAGCAAGTGATGTCATAGACAGGGCCTTTTGAACACCTGCTAATGTTTTTATAAATGTATGGTTTAATGTAACTGTGCAACAACGTTGCAATTGAATGTGCTATATAAATGATAACAGTTACTCCGCCCACTCCAGTTGTAGACTCCTGGTGGAGGCAAGAACACTTCACACAGTTTCCCCAGAAATTGTAGCTTTTCTAGTTTTTTACTGCATTTTCCTGTTTTAATCGATAAACTAACTTTTTATAGGGTTATTCGCGAATTTACATGCTATCGTGCATTCAACAGGAAGTTGCAAACTTTATTTTGAAAATGACACTTTTATTGGACGTAGCAGTTCCTAATTTCTTCACCCCTGTAATTGATACTGATGTGCTTACTGGGCTGAATAATACAGCATGTATACAACACGCTTACCAATACTTCATACTATAACAAAAGGAATCTAGAAATTGTGTGAAATCAGGAAATTGTAGAAAAATATCCCAAACTTGAGCATATATTATACACACACGTTTGGGACACCAGACCATTACACCAACAAGGACTTTTATGACATATCGTTCTAAATACATGGATATTAATTTGTAGTTGGTTCCCACTTTGCAGCTATAACAGCTCCCACTCTTCTGGGAAGGCTTTCCACAAGATTTTGTTGTATTTGTGAGATTATTTTTTTTTGCCCATTCTTCCAGTAGAGCATGTGTGAGTACTGATGTTGGACGAGAAGGCCTGGCTCTTAATCTCCGTTTCAGTTCATCCCAAAGGTGTTCAATGAGGTTGAGATCAGGGTTCTGTGTGGGCCAGGGAAGTTCTTCCACACCAAACTCATCCAACTATGTCTTTATGGACCTTGATTTGTGCACTATGGCACAGTCATGTTGGAAGCATAGCATTGTCCAAAATGTCTTGGTATGCTGAAGCATTAAAATTGTCCCTTCCCTGGAAGTAACGGGCCTAACCCAACTTCTGAAAAACAGCCCTAGACCATTATCCCTCCTTCACCAAACTTTACAGTTGGCACAATGCAGTCAGACAGGTAACATTCTCCTGGCTTCTGCCAAACCCAGACTTTCCCAGCAGACTGCCAAACAAAGACGTGTGATTTGTCACTACACAGAACACCTTCCCACTGCTCCAGCTTCTAGTAGTGGCGTGTTTTACATCACTCGATCCAGCACTCCGCATTGTACTTGGTGATGTGAGGCTTGCGTGCAGCTGGTCAACTATGAAAACCCATTCCATAAAGCTCCTGCCACACAGATTTTGTGCTGATCTTATTGGCGACTTTTATGCACCATGCGCCTCAGGACTTGGTGGCCCCATTCTGTGACTTGATGTGGTCTTTAGCTTCATG